ACCACCATTGGTGTTATTTTAACTTCTTGAACATATCTATGATATTTAGTACATGCCTAAAATGTTCTTTTCCACATATGTTTTATAACATCTCACTTTAAATTTCACTTCCCCAGAGAGTTCTTCCCCGATTCTCTAATGTACATTCACAGCACCTTACTCTAATTTTGTATAATAAACATCTCAATTTATGGTTTATTAGTATATTTGCTGAATGTCTGTCTCTGTTAGATTGTAAGCAACTTGGCTTTAGGACCACATCTGTTTTGCTCACCGATGTATATTTGATGCCAAGCTTAAGTTCTGCCACATAGTAGCTACTCAAAAAATATCTGTTGAATAAATGAATCATTTTCTTTCCTAACAGAATAATTGGTTCTGGAAAATTAAAACAAACTCCTCTGGCTAGAATGCCAAGAAGCACATATGCCACATTAGTTCTTGATGTCTATTTTTATTCCTGTCTGTGAGGAGCCTTGAAATGAATCTATTCTTTGCAGACCAAAGACCCCAAAGCACTAATGTACCAAATAAATAATCAGCTCCAGCTGACAGTCTCTCTATTGTCTTTGCTCTTGCTCAAGTTTTATTTCCTGTCTGCAATGGTTCTGTCTTCTCTAACCTCCAAACCCTACATGATATCAGCACAAATTCAAACTCTACCTCCTTTATGACATCTTCCCTCAGCCCTCTAGTCTCAATCAGATTTCTCCCTTCTCTTGTATTTGCTGTCTTTTGCATGCATAGTAGTATCCAACTATTAACTGTATGATGTAGGCTTTTAAAACTTCCTCCAACGAGTTTATTTGCTAAGTAGACATAATGATTATCTCATAGAACCAGGAATGATAGAAGTCCTCCTACCTGAAGCAACTGAGACTGGTATCTGATGTGTTAAGCAAAAAATCTGGTTAAAGTGGAGAGCCACAAAAGATATCTTAAACATTTTATTTTAATTTAAAATATAGAAATTATATTACTTAGTTCATCTTTCTATGAGAATGATTTTAATGACTGAATGCTCATACCCATAATGCATTAGTTTCTGTTTCCTTTAACTATAATAAGCAAATGACAGTTGGGAAATAATATAGCTATAGAATCCTGTAAGATTTTTATGATTTTCCTTCGGTGTTTTACAGATTTGCTCACTCCTAATTTGATAGAATTTTTTTTTAAAAAGTGATTGGCATTTACTGAGTCTTTCCAAAAGAGTCAACTAGTTTTCATAGAAACAATTAGTTTTCATAGAAATAAACAAACGTAGTTATACCTTATCAGTTTACATAATACTTAATCAAATTATAGAATTGTAACAATAGGCTTAAACAGGTTTTGGAAGATAAAAATTAACTTGTGTCAGCAGATGTCCTCAGGCATATTTAAAAATGCCATTAGCTCCAAGCAGTCATAGTGACCGAGGCATCATCAATTGTTTACAGAGAGAATGGCAAGTGTTGTTTCGATTCTAGTGAGCTGTTTAAGTGAAGAGTAATTAAAAGACAGTCTATGGCTTCTTTTGTTTCTTTTACAACATCTAGTACAGACATGACTACATGATCTGGGAAAAATGCTGGAGGGGAGAAGAGCTATAAAGGGGTGTATAAGGTGAATGGGTAACATTCTAAAGAGTAGGAGTCTCCAACCCATGGGCTGCAGACTGGTACCAGTCCCTGGATTGTTAGGAACCTGGCCTCACAATAGGAGGTGAGCAGCAGGCAAGCCAGCGAAGCTTCATCTGTATTTGCAGCTGCTCTCCAGCGTTAGCATCTTCACCTCAGCTTCGCCTCTGATCATAAGGCATTAGATTCTCATAAGAGCTCTGGTACCTGGTGCCAAACAATTGGGGACTGCTGCTATACAGATTATCATCTGTCACAAGAGTTTCAAGGGCTCTGGAGTTTTGGAGATTAGCACTTGAGAACTGAAAAATTAAAGTGCTCACATTCTGAGAACTATAATAGCATTTCAGAGGACAGTAAAACTGAATTTACCTGGGACCTGACTATCTGTGATTCATCATTCATTTCCATCTCCTCCATGTTCCTCTCCTGGGAAAGTACAGCATTCTAAAAAGGCATAACTGGGTAAAAGAGAAAAAAAGCATTTTGTCAATACAAGGTATTAAGGCTGAACCTAAATCTTGAAACTTTTGCTTTGTATTAGGATGGCAAACAGTTTTGAGAAAAGTAGTCTAAGACATAAGCTTTAAAGGCTGGATGATGTAATTGTGACATTCTTGTTCCTCTATTATATTGAAGAATTAATTCAATGCAGGACTTTTCTCTTCTGTGGTACAACTCCATTTATTGTGGTATATGGGAAGCTCAAGAGAGCTTAGTGGTTTTCAGCTCCTGCTTTACACTTGGGAAATTTAAAAAAGATGCCAATGTTCAGCTCCTATTCCCAGAGATTTGGATAAATCCAATTTTATCCCTATCGGTCTGGGGTTTGCTTTGGCAACAACACTTTAAATTCTAAAGTCTCCAAATGATTTAAGTGGGAGATGAAAATCACTGAGATGTGATACAAACCTATGTTGAGGACCTACTCTAAAGGGATAAATTCAGCTCCATATTCAAACTCCAGAGATCTTCTCTCCTCTGCTCTCTTTAAGATGATCCTTCTCATATACAAAGGAGATTTCACTCTTTTCATTTTTCAGAATGTTTACCTTCATTTTCGGGCATCTGGATTCAGTTCTCCACCAGGCTTACTACACCCTTTGCAGTTCTTAAATTGTATGTCACCAAAGCTTTGTTTCCTTCCAGCAGGACCCTCAGGAAATATACCAGTACTAACAGCTTCAGTATCCTTGTCAGTTCATTAAAGCTAATTTTGTAGTGTTTTATGGGGGACAGTCACTCCCAAGTATTAAAGGTGCCTAATCTCTGATAAGAGTCTCAGAAGCCAATGGATATCCACAAGATTGATCTCTGCTTTCCAGGGGCAGCCAGCCACTCTTGGAATCTTGCCTTGTTCAAGGAGGCTATTGCCTTTTTTTTTTTTAACTGAAAGACCTCAGTCCTTCATATACAGACTTAATTATGATATTCGAATCTGTCTTCTAGTAGGATTCTTGAGAGATAAAATTTCAGGCTGAGCACCTGGAATGAGATGCACCGGAGCAGAAGAAATCTAGTCTCAGGCACTTATGGACCTATTGTCTGTAAAGAGACATAAATTATTCACTCATGAGGATAGAGCACAGTAGGATGTGGGATTCTTTAAAAGAATTAAAAAGCATTTTTAGAATTTCTCAGATTCACACATTAGAAAAAACAGAGAAGTATAGATACACTAACTACAACAAACTCTAGCCTCAATCCTTTCCTATCCTCTTCTTAGAACAGAAAACATGTGGTCCTTTCCCAGGGAAAGACTTTCACCAACACTACCAACAGACTGAAATGTTCTGATTTGCTAATAATTATGAAAGAATACATTCTAATGTTCAAAAAAGTTGGCCTGAAAAATTTCTCTCAAAAACTAGTGATGGAAATAGTGAAAACATTTCTGAGAAGCAATTTTTTTAAAAAGAGAAAACTGCAGTTCTAGTGAAATGGCCTTTTTAGATAAGGAAGCCATTCACTGCCCAAGAGATGGCACAAATCTAACAGTTTATGACCAGTTCACTAAGAAGCAGAGCTTTCAGGAGTAATTTAAAAGCACTTTAAGAAACATCATTATTTCATCAATCAAAAGCTCTAAAAAGGTTCTACTGTCTGAAGAGCCAGACAGAATCTGTGAGAATGCCTTGATATTTCAAACCAAATCACCTCAAAACCATTTATTCATAACAATGAAAACCACATTCACCAAGTTAGGCAAAACAGGGTTTCTCCTTCATATGTGAAAAACCAAGGATATTTTAATGGCATATGATAAGACTAAGATTCCATAGAACAGACCTTTGGAAATGTTGATTTAGTGCTCAGTTGCTTGGTTTAATGAAGGATTCTAAAATTGGAGGTCACAGAACTAAGTAAAAGAAAGCTGGTTCTAGAACCTAAGTATCCTGATTCACAGTCCTTGGTTTCTTCTAGTTTACTCTAAAGTCCTTCTTAGTAGCTGTTCTCTACCATTTTTTTTTTCTTTTTCTCTTTTTAAAAATCAGATTCCCTTTCTTCTCATAATTTCCCTTTTCATTCCTGTATTGGAAAGAATAACAACAAAAAAGAAAACCATTCCCCACCCCCAAACTGTGTGTAATTTTTAATGCAACACATATATACACCTTTCCAGAGAAGCCTGTGGGATTGCCATAGTCTTTTAAAAAAAAATAAAAAAAAAAAAAACAACAACAACAACAAAAAACCATGATGCTTGGAAAGTAACAAATTCCCTTGACTGCCTAAGGAATACTAGAATTATAATCAGTTTAGATGACATGACTCTGAGCTTACCAGTTTTCCTTTTCACTCCAAGCTCTTCCAAAAAGCTGAGTGAACTTTACTGACCATGTAGAAAACCAATGTAGTGCTTCTCAATCTGGGCTGTGCATTAGACTCAGCCTAGATTTAAAAATATACAGATATAAATATATACATGTCCCAGGCTCCATCCAAGAGCCACTAAACCAGAAGAGTCTGTTGAGATGAAGTCTGGTATCTACATATGTTTTTTTCTAATGACCTACAAGTTACTTTGATGCAAGCAAGAATTCAAACAGCTACCAGTGCTTTTCACTTCCTTTACTTCCTCAGTCCCAATGATTTTCACCATCACTCTACTTCAGTCACCCACTTCTAGGGCCAAAGGACTTCCGCTATCTTTCTTATCTTAGAAAACTCTAGACTATGAATCAGGAGACCTAGGTTCTAGACTTGATGAGAAAGAAACTAAAGATAAGAGTAGCTTAATAGATGGAGGAAATAGAAGAAAAGAGAAGTGTTTATCAAAATGTGGTCTGAGGATCACTGAATCGTATTTGTTGAAAGCAGATCACAGACCTAATGAAATGCACTTCTGGGGTTATTTTCAGCCCAGGAATTTGCATTAAAAGGTTATTTCTTCCCTGGAATCACTCCATTCTCTACAGCCTCCTTATAGGCCTGAATCTAGCACATATCTTCTCATTCTTATACCTTCAACTTTATCTGTCATTTTTACTGACTCCTTCCTATCATCAATTAAAATCATTTAATGTCTATCCCACATTAAAAACTTTCACTGGCTAAATGCTCCTTTGCAAGTACCATACTTTCTTTTTTCAAGGCCACATTATTCACAGGATTGTCAACACTTGTCTCTACTCCCTCATTACCCACTTATTTTTTCAATTCTCTATAATCTTGCTTCTGTTATGTTGTCAGGACGCTACTGAAATATCTTCAGTCAGTAATATAAAAGACCCTTATGTTGTCCTGTGTCAGACCTCATTAATTCTTAATTACCTAAGTGCTGATGGTATCTGATATTGCTGACAGCTATATATTGCTTTACTTCCATGGTCTTTCTCAGTGGGTTATGCTCTAATCCTTTTTCCTCTGCCTACCATGTATACATTATTGTTCCTTAGGATTTTCCAAAATCTACTCATTCCCTCCACAGTTGAAGGGATCTTTAAAAGATAAAAACCATACCTAAAAAGAAGAGTTCACTATCTCAAATGCCAGTGCAGAGAAGCAATCCATCAAGTATTATGAATGATCAAGTTAGCTCAGAAAGAAAATAGAAAGTCTCCAGAAACCAAACTAAAAACATGAAGGACTCTGATTTAAAAAAGAGAATTTTAGATTGAAGTTTTGAAAAAACTGAATGAGATACAAGAAAACTCAGAAAGACAGTTCAATGAAGGAATAAAATAAATGAACAAAAAAAATACTTTACCATAGAGACTAAAACTATAGAAAAAAAGAACCAAACAGAAATTCTGGAGCTGAAGAAGTCAATAAACGAGATGAAGAATGATTTAGAGAGAATGAGAAACAAAGAAGACCAGATGGAAGGAAGAATTAGTGAACTCTAATGAATTTAAAAATGACTCAGAAGAAAAAACCAAGTTAAAAAAAATGAAAGAACAAACAGAAGTCCTGGGCCAGACTGCTGCAAGGGTGAATTTTACCATAAATAAAATGAAAGATAAAAATAATATGATCATATCAATAGCAGAAATAGTATTTGACAAAATCTAGCATCTATTTATGATAAAAAAAAAAACTCTCAGCAAAGTGGGAATAGAGGGAACAAACCTCAACATAATAAAGGTCATTTATGGCAAATCTACAGCTAATATCATACTCAACAGAGAAAAGCTAAAAGCATTTCCTTATGATCAGGAACAAGACTAGGATGTCCACTTTCACCAGTTTTATTCAACAGAGTTTTGGAAATCCTAGCAAGAGCAATCGGACAAGAAAAAGAAATAAAAAGCATCGAGGCTAGTTTCTGGTCAATATGATGGAGCAGGTAAATGCTGTGCTCATCTCCTCTTATGAAAATTACAACTAAACTACAGAACAACATCACTGAGAATCACCTAGTCTAGCTGAACAGAAATTCTAAAATTAAAGACATACAGAAGAAGCCACATCAAGACTGGTAGGATGGGCAGATGTGTGGAATAGGCTGGTCCCACACTCATGTGTGACGGGGAAAAATTGAGAGAAATATCATGGTTGCAGAGACCCCTGGGGAGTGAGGGGTCACAGCTGCACGCCAGGCTGCCCATATGTGGTTCCAGTGCTAGGGAGAGAAGTCTCCATAACTCCTGGCTGTGAACACCAGCAAAGATTATGGCCGAGTGAGACGGAGGGCTGATGAAGTCCTAGGCCTTCCTCTGAAAGGTCCCATGCACAAGCTTACTTGCTGATTCACTCATTCCAGGGAAATACAGGAAGAAATGGAGTTGTCTGGCTTCAGTGTGAGAAATGGAGAGGCAGCTTTCTCCTGGATAAAAGTGCTGGCAGAAGCCATTGTTACATTGTTGAGAACCTCTACCCCTCCTGCAGCACAGGCGGGCACCATATTTGAGTTTCCATTATTCTAGCTAATACCATTCATTATGCCCTGGTGATTCCCTGACACCTCGCCCTACCCAACTAGCAGGCCAACCCGAGCTACTTTCAGTAGTGTTTTTAA